TATCACTTTGGTACTGGTTATAGATCACGATATGACATATCTGATTCCAGTTTTTGCCATCTGGTGAGATCCATGTTTCCAAGTGGATAGTATTATGTTGAAAGGTCGTACTGGAGAGTTTTAGATTCTTAGTTGGTGCTAATACTGCTATTTTGTACCAATTAGCATTGCTGTATTAATGGAGACTAAATGTCCCTATTCACTTTCTCAAGTTTTGTTTCTACTGGGGGTGGTAATAGACAAATAGCAGCCTTAAGAGGTAAATATTTCGGACTACATACTCCCTGATGTTTCCTCATGTGTTATGGACTTAATATTACCTTCACTGCATTGCTAGTTATCAAAATAATTGAAATATTACCTACTTCCTTGTGTACTAAACCTGTTAAACTTCAAACCACAAATATGAAAGACCATCTTAGCTGGTTCTCGATAATATACCATACTAAAAGTCAGACACTATTTCTCCCATATTCGATATTACTTAAAACAGATTAGTCTTTCACTGTTACCATTACCTAACCGTTTCATTTATTTGTTTCTACTAGAATAGAGTTATCAATGTACAAAAAATGTACCGTTTGCCATTTTTACATGGTGCCAAATCTCACCTATCTCTCTATGCTTTCAATGGTCAACGCAGGGGTGAACATCCCCCCTCCCCAAGGTCACTGGCGCAAGATCCTATATCCCCCTTCTCCCACTCCCAAGATATTATATTGCTCATATTTTCTTTAAAACAGAGCAAATGAAGGTAGAATTAGAAAAATCGTAGATCATACACATTTACACTTGCTGCGGTTTGTTCCATGTTTTCTCCTTGTCTTTTAGTATGAAACTTTTCATTCCGAAAATTCATAACCTTTTCAAAATGTGCCCCCCTCAAAAATTAAAAAAAAACATTCAAAATATGCCTCCCTCAAAATTTTTTATGGCGCCATGAAATCCCTTCTGGGCACCCCTGGATTAACGGTTATGTCCATGCATTTTTATGCAATTTCATATTTTGTGTGCGTGGTTATTTTTAACCGCTGATCAAAAATCATTACGAATTAGTACACTTATTTTGCATATTTGATGATAAATGCATATAAGTGCATATTTTGGTTAATTTAACAAAATGAAAATATATAAATGAATATATATCTATTTATTTATGTGATATTTACAACTGTATACAAAAAATACATATAGTTAATTCGCACATGGATATAATGACATGAAACACATGTTGAGAAACTACCCATTGGTAGCACTCTAATAATATACGTACAAATTAAAATGCAACATTGTAGATGAAACTCAAGATTACAGTCGAAGGTTTATTTTCAATGAATAAAACAACAAAAACTATCACATTTGTAGACTTAACAACTACCTTCCTCAATACCCTTCAATAATTCCCTTTATTGATATTCACCGATTCCCGGAAACTCCTTTCTTCTCCCATGTCAACATCGTACTAAGTTTCTAATTCTGTTTGTTACCTACGTTCTTCGGGAGTCACATATCTGTTTGCTAAAATGCCAAGAGTAAGTTTTTCATTTTCGTCAAAGTTGAAATCTTGGATTGAACCGTACAACAATATATATGAAACAGTTTTTTTGGCTCAGGATCGAGAGTTGTGGATTCGTCTTTACAAGAAGGCTTCTCTCACCGCTCAGCGGTAGAAGAGGAAACGATTAAGAAAAAGAAGAACAATACATATGAAACAGTTTTTACAACTGATGGAAACATTGTTTTTGCTGTTATCATTAGAAAAAGTTGTGAAAGAAAATCGCAGGTTGATCAGGACGTCAATACAAATGAGCTTTATTGTAATTCGCTTTGCCTTTAAGCTCGTAATATAATTAGAGATCCCTTTCGTAAAATAAGGCTTTATTTTAAAATTAAATACTTTGTATCTATTGAGATAAAAAAAAAAGTGGAAGGGCTGGCAACAGTAATTATGTAATTATTTAAAACAGTGAAGTTATTTAATTATGTGTCAATCCAATAATTGTTATTTCGTTTGTATATACTTTATATCAGGGGAGCCTAGAAGGAGGTTTCATGGGGCAAGCTGCGCCATAAAAATTTATGAGGGGGATATATTTTGACGGGTTTTTGAATTTTTGAGAAGGGAAAATTTCGACGGGTTATGAATTCTTGGACTAAGGGTCAAAGGAAAAAACATGAAACATACCGCAGCAAGTGTAATTGTATATGATCTACGATTTTAGGGATAATTTACTGTATTTTTCATTTTTTTTTTTTTTACTGCATATTTCAGGGTTTTTTTGCTGCATATTATATGATATATTCCGTTTGATTTTATTGCATAAAAATCCGGGCCTTGGCTATTCCAATTCCCAAGTGGTCGAAGTGATTGCTTGCATTGAGAAAATTTCTATTGCTAATAACTGCATGAATGTTAGTCTGCCCTACCAATGGTCATTATTATTATCTGCCCTACCATACCTGGCATGACATGTTCCTAATCAGGATTGCTAATCATTATTTTTGTTATTTTTGATTCTTCTGACCATTTATCGACAGTTATTTGTTTTAAGATTCGTATACAATAGACTTTGAAAGTATATAATACTAGATAATATTAAGTACCTCAAATTCTTTTATTATTCTCAGACATACTGTGGGAGCATCATAAATCAGTTGGAATTCTACTTTTAAGACAGCCTACAATCCCCCAATTTTATGGTTAGGACATGTCACAAGCGGATCCTTTTTTTTTTTTTTTTGGGAGGGAGGCTTCGACCCAAAAGCTTTTTAATTATCTATATAACGATTATTACTTTGAGAGAAGAAGAAAGAAACTAACTACATATATGAAATGGTTTTAAAGTGATTTTTGAAGTCCTATTAAATTTAATTATAGAAACAGTAATACTTCTCTCATCTCGGCTTCATCCCGAAGGTCCCTCCCCCGTCCCGTAGATCCGCATATGGAGAGATATAATATCAGGATTTGAATCCCGATAGATTTTAGCTACATGATTGGGAACTAAAAGTGAACAACGTGAGGACGAAATACATGCATACATCCACCGCACAGCATGAGCAGGAAGGAATCGTAGATATATATTCTCATAAATTTAAGATGATACGAATTTTTTAGAGGCTCAAGTCATTTCTCAAAAAAGTATAAATGAAAGAATAAACAGACACATCTTCTTTTCGGGCAGCAATGACTAGAAACTATTAGATACCGATCCGCCCAGTCCTGTCTTACTCGCGAGACTGAGAAATGCAGACATTGACTAAAGTTATTGAATAGTCACTCCTTAGGTTTTAGAGGAAGATTTATAAGTTAAATCTGGTGAGAAAGGACAAATAGCGAGCTTAAGAATGTTTATAAAAATGTAGATATAGTGCAAGCCATTAAACTAGCCAGACTGCAATGATGTGGTCACATCATTACTATGAATCCAGAAGAAATCCCGCGGAAGGTATTTAGTGGTCAGTGTACGGAACCAGAAGAGCTGGTCGTCCAAAGCTTAGATGGGAGGCTTCAGTGGCCAATAATGCCAGGCTCTACTTGATACACAAGATTGGAAGGCGAGACGCACTAGATCAGAAAAAATTATTGTTGATGCTTCAGCAAGCCTTAACTCAACTTGGGATATATCAATATTTTGATGAAACTCGACCCCTTCTCATTTTTATGACTTATAATTTATTGGACTAAACTATTTTTAGGGATATATGAATATATAAAGAATCAAGTTCAAGAAATCATAATAACAAATACATGTTATAGAAACAATGCTAAACGGTGGAGCATCCATTTGTGTCACAGGCATTAGGAGTTAAAACCCTACAAAATAAAAAAAGAAACAACAAAATCGATTTAGTAGTTCCTGAGAAAATATTGGCACAGACAGACAGATAGACAGACCAATCGATCCTCCCAAGGAACCGATCATAATACTTTCCTTACCTAGTATATGTAGGAAAGTAAAAACAATTACTGTTGGGAACACAACCCGAAATATAACTTAAACAGAAGTCCTACGATTTATTTAACTGTTACAATATTTTTCTGAAATTGATTATAACTTAAAATTTTTAGTTCATATACAGAGTGGGCGATACCGCGATTGGACACACTAGCATATACTTAATATACTGTGTACACGTTACATATGTGCATATATCTTAATACAATACCTTATTATGGTAAACATTAAGATTTACTGAAAATATAGAAAATTGTATGCTACACAAATTACACTTCTATTGTTCATTATAATCATTCTTAGGAGCTAAATGTCCCAGTATAAAATTTACTTTTTTTCTTTATCTTCTTCTTAGAAACAACAATTAAAAAAGAAAACCATACTAGTGATAAAGTTAAGACACAATTGAAAAACACGTAATAAAACATTTTAAGAATAAAGGTTAGATTACTAGCAAAGTGAAATACTTTCATCTCATGATAGTACAGTACAAAAACTATTTAAAAAATACAAACAAACAAAAAATTGGAAAATGGATTTAGCTTATTTGGAATTCCACGCCTTCCATGCAATTCCATACAATGCACTTTATTTCTACAACATAAAATTTAAAAAATTCTAAAAATTAAAACTAAACATTTTTAATACATATGGAAATTTCAATTACCAACTAGGTTTACTACACTGACTAGGTAAGAAAGACATTCTGAGGATTCAACATGCGTGTATTTACATACTAACATAAATATACATTCAGTGCAAGTATATTTTGCATGTGAGTGACAGCAGACTTTATTTTCATTAATTATTACATGATTAAAACCCAACTTTCACCATGAAAGCTGATTCATCAAAAATTGAATTTTCCCTACGGTAGGGATATTATTCTCCCTCAAGTTGGCAACACTGTTGTCACAGTATAACCGGGCCTATCCCTCTGGGATCTACTCATTTCTCGTTGCTACTCTCTGTTGATAACGTAGTTGTCATATTCAAGTTATTTTGTTTTTTTTGTTGTTTTTTTATTTAAAAAAAACAAGCATGTTTAAGTTAAGCCTTCTGCTTCTGTTAGTAGGTCTCGTTTGTATAGCCAGTTCTAGAGATCTCCATGAACGTCCTAGGTAAGCTTATTTAAACTAAAATAATAACTAGATACAAATTTAAATTCTTACTCTTTGATAATTAGTTGCTCCGATAAATTGAGGATGAATTTATTCTTCCTACATTTTCATAAACAATTTAGTTATGTGCCTTGAAGAGGAACAAAAATTAATTTAGGAGTTGGCTTTTGATAAGCAGTAAAATATTTTATTTTTCCAGCTACCTGAAACTAGCACCCCTTCGATATATGTATTTAGGAGAAAATAAGATTTTTATGTTAGTTTAACAATATCATTTCAGTAGTAATTGCTTTTTGTATTACCAAAGGGGATTATTTTGGGGTAATGATATTTTACCAAGATTGAAAAGGGCATTAAATAGCTGGCTTTGTCTGTTGATTCGGCTGTCAAATACTTGTTTATAAAACTTCCAGTTATCATTTAACTTTCTCAATTTCAATGATAACTTTTCAATTTTTTTTTTGTTGGCTTAATTGAATATTACTTAGGCAAATAGTTCTCTTGAGTAAATTAATTGAGGAAGTCTATGGAATGAAGTACAGAAATTTAATGGAACTTGAATCCTTTTACAAAAGTCATTTAGTACTGTCATTTTAATTCAATGAATAGAAACGTATATCTGTATATTTTTTTAATTTTTTATCCCTTAAAAACAGAGTAAACTCTTGGCCTTAATACTGTATAATACCAAATTTATAGATAAAGATGTTGAATTTTTTCATAGATAGTAGAATAAATTATTTTTAAAATTGATATAAATATGTTTACAATTAACTTTCATTCATCTGTCAAGGTTTATGGTTTTACTATTTAGAATACACAAGGGACATAAGTAAAAATTAATGATAAGGATAGTAATATGATATGATTTATAATATGATTATATTGTTTTACATTTCCGTACATAATTAGTAATTCTAATTTTATTTTCAGTAAAATAATTTTTTCACAATGAAACTCTACTTCCAGTTCATAACTTTAATTTATAGTGGTTTTTGAATATAAATAATTTCTGTAACATGAGTCATTCAGATTTTTTTCAGCTTTTAAAATATTAAATTTTTTTTTTCATAAATAATCATAAAAAAATGTTGTACTACTCAATACTAAATGCAAATAATAATGGTGTAAAATGTAGACTACATTATGCCTAGAGAGTTAGATAATATTTTTACTTATTAATCCTTTTAAGGTTTTAACAGCATGAAATGATCCATTAAATATCTTACTGAACTGGAGGTAAGACAGATTTTGGTTTTCTTAATTTACAATTCATTTGCTGGAGGCAATCTTAGAAAGATAACAAAATGGGAGTTCTTGTAGGAGGTTTTAGGAATAAGCTCAAAACAATATCACAGTCTATTTTAATCCTGTTGACATTATTTAAGTTTATTGCATGTGGAGTATATCAAAAATATATGTTCTCCATAACTAATTGTTACTTATTCTATTTAGTGTATTTTTAATATATTTAAAGGTTTATTGATTTGACTAAAGTGCCATCTGATAGTCCATGCAAGAGTGCTGCTCAAAGAAAATAAATTTTTTGGAAAAAATATAATTTTACCTTTTCAATGGTTTTTTTAAATATTTATCCACAGGGTATTAAATACAGTATATTTGTTATTGCTCACTTCCCTTTTTTACATTTATGTATTTTCTGTTTTTTTTTTATTCTGAAAAATCGCTGGTATGTAAATAAACTAAACACTGGTTGATAATATAATGTTCAGTTAGTTGTTGTTGTGGAGGCTTTTTCTATCGCACTAATATTCATTATTTTTAGTACTTATTTAGTGTTGTTTTTCTTTGTGCTTTTGTGAGATATGTCTAGAACATTTAAGGTAGATAGTTCAATTGAATGATGGCCTGAACTTATGATTTAGTTGATTGTCATTTTTATTTGTAAAATAATTATGGACAGAGGTTTACTAAAATTTTGATAAACACAATTATGGCACAATACCTTTTTTTAATAATCATTATTTTGATGAATATTTGTTAGGGTTGTATAACTAAATTAATTGAATGAAAATCTTTTTCATTATTTGAATAGTCTTCACTAGTTTCTGCCATATTTTTATATTCTATAGCAGGTATACTTGTATTTTATTTATACGGCTGTAAATTTCAATAAATGAATTTTTTAAAAATGTATTCTAAAATTAAAATATTGTTTCTTAAATGGTACACATTTAATGATATTGAAATGTGTTCATTATTTTTTCAACTGTTTTTATTAGCAATAGTTAGTTGTTTCTTTGTTGCACTTTGTTATAAATTACTCCCATTAGAATTTTCTATTTAAGAGAGGTTGATGTTTGTGTGTCTAAAGGTTAAAGAAATTTTCGCATTTTTTTTTTATTAGTGAAAAGGGGGTGTGTCTAGATGTTAGCTTTCTCTGGGCTTATTAATGTTTATTTTTCTCTTTTGAAGAAATTTTCTATCTTATAAATCTGGACATATTGCTTAGCTTTTTATACCAACTGTAGTGTTATAATTAATCTGATTTCCGTTGTATTGATAAGTTTGAATGTTTTATTGTCATTTATTTGTTTTATTTTGAAGTTACTTGATTTTATAAAAATCAAAAAGATTTTTATTTATTGTTTTATTTATTTTATTGATATCAACAAATTGCATGACTATAGTTAATCTAGTCATCAATATCCTCTTTGGATGGAGATAGCTGTTGAGAGGTTCTCAGCATCTTCTGCTCAAGGTGACAGTTAAACTGCATACTTATGAAAATTTATTCCTAAGAGAACTCTGGAGGAAATGTTTTTTTTTGCTATGAGATGGTAATATTGCTTGCGCCATTTTCTTTTGAGTTTGTACGAATTATACAACCATTTTAATTAGGTCTATTTTTTTTTTTTCATTAGTTCTTTTACGAAATTCGGACTAATTATTTGGAACGTGTACTGTTGAGAACAAGTTTCGAACTACTTATTAATTTGGAGGAAAGAAAACTATTGCGGGATCATTGAAGTAAATAACATCTCAAGAGAGTATTAATCAAACAACTATGAAAGAAAGTGACGATCTAGGATAAGAATTTGATTATTTTCTCTGAGGCCTGCGTTTGATCTCTCAAATTCACCGTTCTCACTTTGCCTTATCAAATATTTATATAACCTATATCCGTTTGCTAATATTTTCCATCAAAAGTAACTGTATGGCTGGAAGTCCCGTTATGTTATTGAAGTTCAGTGTGTCAAACAATCTTCCAACGAGAAAAAATATAAATTAAATCACTGCTACTTTCGCTACATCCTTTTAACTTGGCATTGCATTTTGCTTCTTGTAGAATGGGATTCTCCTTATACTCTCTCTAAATTTTTTTATGCTTATGGATATTTACTACTAAACATAATTATGTATGGTATTCATCAATCTTTTAGTTAATTTATTACAGTCCGTTTCTTCATTAGCAATCGTCAACGTGTATTGTACAGACTACAGACCATAATTATCAGGTATGATTTACCTTGGTAGCAACTATTTTTGTTGTAAATTAAAATAAAAATGTTTGGAGTGGGAATCTACTCGTTTTAAATTATCTTATATTTTCATATGATATATTTTAGTAATACTTAATATTTTTTAGAAAAGTGGAAGAAATCTGGTTTTCAGACCTACAATAATTAGTCTAGTCGAACCTCTATGTATTGAAATGAAGGTTCCTTGAAAAAAATCGATATACAGAATTTTCGATTTATAGAAAAATTAAAAATTTTCGTCCTTATCATACTAAAAACAATTGAAATTATTTTGTAAAAAAATATCTAACGCTTTTTTATCAGGGTTACCTCACAGGTATTAAATTTCAATACAATTTCATGGAACTTATATTATTTTAATTATGATTCTTTCTTCGATGTATATAAATCTTAATCAACATACGAAATATTTGACTGAAAATTCAAGTTTCCTAAAAACTTGAATGGAAATGGAGATTTTTGATTTATGGAAGTTCGATTTACCAAGGTTTGACTGTACATAGTTTTGTGAACAGTAGACCTTGCGAAAAAAAGATAAAATCAAAAATCTCCTCTTTATTGTAACTTGTAATGGTTTAGCAATTTTTTTGTTTTGTGCATAAAAAAAAAGTATATATATGAAAGTAAAAATTAATTTAGAAGGATTTGGTTTTTGATAAGCAGTAATTTTTTTTTCCAGCTACCTAAAACTAGTACCCCTTCTATACTAATATATATTTAGGAGAAAATAAGATTTGTATGTTAGTTTAACAATATCATTTCAGTAGTAATTGCTTTTTGTATTGCCACCAAAGGTGATTGTTTTGGGGTAATGATATTTTACCAAGATTGAAAAAGACCTTTTTACATACGTCAAAAGTAGGAGTATTGAAGTCATAAAATCAGACAAAATTATTTGAAGCTTTTTTTACTTTCTACTGCTTTATGTCAAACGAGAATAATGTTTACAATCACACTTAAGGTTTTAGTGCGTTTCCAATGTTTATTGCACTCCTTTGTTTAAACATAAAATCTCCACTTTATGTACAAATAACTAGTAAAAAAAAAAAAGGTTGTTTAGCAAATGCTATAACCGGCCATTGAATTAAACAGTTACGATTTATTGAAATTAGTGTTAACATATTCAGCGATAGCTTTCAGCTAAGTGTGGTTTCAAGCTTCACTATCTGCAATTAGTTATCTCTTTTGAAAACAATTACTGTAATTGACTTGCTAGTTTATTGTTCTGTTAATTGGGCCTGTCTGGCCACCATATTGATAATATCATCCATAGATACGATCAGAAATAATAAAATAAAACAAGAAGTTTACATACATCTGAAAATTGACTCATAAAATGGAAGACAATCAAATCAGGAAAAAGAAGTGAAAAATAGCAAGTATATTTATTAGAGCTTTAAATAAATACTTAATTTTTTTGTGGTACTGTATGGAAAAATATTAGACACTTGTACTAACGTTTAAGTTGAAGAAAATCCTGAGAAGTTACAAATTTTT